TACTTTGAAAATGCTTACAATGTTTTGTGTGATTTTTTACTGTCGTGATACCCAACTTCTCTAGTCCTTATATGAAAAATTCTTTTATAAAAACAAAAAATTCTGGAGACTCACTTTTATCAGCTGCTTTATTTCAAAACTTAAATATTCTTGATCCTTAAAATTGGCAAATTGATATTTAATTAAAATATCAAAATAGCAGTTTATGTAAAGGTTATTACTTTTTTTCAGAAAATTTAAGGTTTTTTTGTTTTGTTTTCTTTACCTGTAAGGTCAGCCAAGGAGGCAGAAGACAAAATAAAAAAGGCCATTGAAAAGGGAGAAACTCTTCCTACAGAGGCTAGGTTTGATTCCAACTGTATTACACCAGGTAAAGTCGAGAAAAATTCTTTTTTTTTTTTGGCGGAACCGAGGATTGAACTCGGGCCTTTGCGCTTGCCAGGGAAGTGCTTATTCCACTGAGCCATCTCCTTGGCCCCTGAGAAAAATTCTGAAACAATTAAAATGTAGTTCGAAAATGTATTATTTCAAATGTGCAAATTTTTGTTTACTGGACTTTATCTGGGCCCTGGGGTTCCATTTGATGTATTTTCCCACTGTAATGAGACAGAACACATTGGTTACAAGTGTCCCATAAAGTTCCACTGTAAGATTTTCAAATGTTAATGAGAACAGATATGGTCAGGACTCTTCAGGTAGGTACACAGAATTCCAGATCTAGACCTTACAAGATCTTTCACTTTGACTCCCACCATTTCTTGGTATAAAACGGTCTCAGTGAAGTTGAGATTTTCATATGGTTTACTTGCAGTTTCAGCATAAGTACATCATACATGATTTTCCTAAAACAAAATCATTGTAGACTGGATTTCCAAATTAATAATAGTAATAGTATTGTTATCATTATAATTATTGGCAATCTCATTGAAGCTGCATGTCTTACAAAATTACTATAGAAGCTGGGCAAATAGCTCAGTGGCATAAGCACCAGCCTGGTAAGCACAACGTCCTGAGTTTGATCTCCAGTTTAAAAAAAATTTACTATAGAGTCCAAGCAAGAGTTGAGTTTCAGGACTGGGGAGATGGCTCAGCAGAATAAGCGCTTCCCTGGCAAGCACAAGGGCCTGAGTTCAATTCCCGGTTCTGAAGAAAAAAAAAAAAAAAAAAAGAGTTGAGGTTCATTAGCTTCTAAACTTTGCCCAGTAAGTATGTAAAAATACTTGAAGCACAGTCTCTAGACAGCAATACAATTCCTTGACTTTCCCTTTGTAACACTGACTTCATTTATGGTAAATAGTGGCATTTAAAATAGGGTATTTGCTAGGTAATGGTACAACATTTCTTTCTTTCAGGATAAGTAAGAGCACTTTTGACCTCTTTTGAAGATCTTATTACACCTACCTACTTCCTGGACATCCACATCTGATTATTATAATGTCACTGGGAACTTATCATATTTATGTCTTTCAGAGATTAACTTTTAAAACCCTTTTTGTTTATAGGGACTGAATTCATGGCCAGGTTACATGAACACCTGAAGTATTTTGTAAATATGAAAATTTCCACAGACAAGTCATGGCAAGGAGTTACCATCTACTTCTCAGGCCATGAGGTTATCATCTTTTTTTTATTTTAAAGGATTTTAAAAATTGATTTAATATTCAGAAGTATAGCCTATTACCACACTTTTTTAAAACATTGTATTTAGACTCCCGGAGAAGGAGAACATAAAATCATGGAATTTATCAGATCCGAAAAAGCAAAGCCAGATCATGATCCAAACACCAGACACTGTCTTTATGGTTTAGATGCTGACTTGGTAGGTATAATATTTATTGTTATATAAGATCATGCCATTATAGATATGTAAGAGACTTGATTTTATACAGAAATCTTACCAGCAATGCCAGCATGATAACTATTGGTACTTTTGCCCTTACCAAAGTTCTAAAACAGTGGGGAAATGAGGGTTTTGGTTTTGGTTTTTGCCATTTTTTATGATCAGCTGGCCTCTGTATTTTACAAATATGACTGACCCTACTGCTTCAAGTATTCTTCTGAAGTCATGGAAGGGAACCTTTTTCTATCCTAAGGCCCATGACTTTCAGTATCTCCTTATCCAACAACTCTACAGCCCAAGTAACTTGAACGTTTGGTTTAGCTTATTATGACAATTGTCAAGCTAAACAAAAATAGGAAAAATCATTCATGAAGCACACCTACACTCCTTTTTTTATAGGAGGCTGAGGCAGGGGGTTTGAAAGCATATAACCAGCCTGAAAAATTTAGTGAAATCCTATCTAAAATTTTTTGTTTAATTTTTTTAGAGTCTGGGATTATAACTCACTGCTCTCTTAGTTTAATTCCTAGTACTGCAAAACAGCAATGGCAACATAAAAACCCATATCAGAATAGCCTGATGATCTTTCCTGTGTTCTTCGTTTACTTAAAATTTACTTCTGTCCCTATAGGTCACCTTTCTCTTACCATACCTCTCTGGGTTATTGAAACAAATTCCAAACATTATATCATTTAGGGGCCGGGGAGATAGCTCAGTAGAATAAGTGCTTCCCTGGCAAGCTCAAGGGCATGAGTTCAATCCCCAGTTCCGCAAAAAAATAAATAAATAAAATATATCATTTAATCTGTACACTTTTGCATAACTTTCTCAAAGGAAGTTTTTTAAAATTACAAATGGTTTTTGTTTTTGTTTTTGTTTTGAGATACGGTGTGCTATGTAGCCCAGGCTGGTCTTAATCCTCCTGCATCAGCCTCCTAAGTGCTGGGATTACAGGTTTGTGCCACCATACCCAGCTAAAATCAAATATTTAAACACAATCCCATTATCTTACATAAACTAAAAAATAGCAGTCATACTTAATATGTAAGTAACCAGTTCATATTGTCATCTCCTTTATTGCACTATAAATGTTTCTTTTGCTTTTTTATTTTTACTGTTGGAATCAGTATTGAGACAAAATGAACTATGCATTGTGTTTTATTGATAAGTCTTACTAGAAATTTGAATTAATTTTGGGAATTAGGATATTTTATAAAAAATTAACTGAAAGTTAATTAAGAACATTTGTTTGTTTAATTAAGAAAGTTTGGGAATTATGGGGGAAAATACAGTAAGAGTTAGAATGGTAATTATACAGGTAATGGGACTCAAAGTTAGCATGATTTTCCTCATAAAGTACATTCGCTTTGTCCCGTTCATAGCCTCAAATGGATCGTATTTTTGTATTTATATGTTTAATGTACTAATTATTACTCTGCAGAAATATTTCTAATAGCTTTTTGTGTATCTGATACAATTAGCAGTGGAAGAATAAAAATATTTCATAATCATTTTTCCACAGATCATGCTTGGATTAACAAGTCACGAGGCACACTTTTCTCTTTTAAGAGAAGAAGTTCGATTCGGTGGCAAAAAAGCACAAAGGTAAATCACAGAGCATATAAGTTGAATCAAAGAACACAAGTTAAGCCCTTTGCCTATTGCAACTGTCCTCTATGTAGCCGTCTGCTTTCTCCAGGGTGCACTTTTATTGTGCTTTTGCTCCTATTGCTTAGCCCAGGCTCACTCCATAGAGCCAGTTTCTTCCCTCAGTCTTCACATTTACTTTCTTGAAGGACTTTGCTAGTGCTTTAAAAACAGTAAGTTAAGATCCTTAACAGATACATAGTCAGTAAATGTTTTCGCTCAATTCACTGATGGCCTTTTCACTTTTTTGATAGAGTCATTTGGTACACAAGTTTTTAATCTTGATATAGCTCAGTTTATCTTTTCCTATTCGTATTTTTAGTGTAATAGCGAAGAAATCTTTGTGAAATCCACTGTTATAAAACTAGTATTGGGGCCAGGGATATAGCTCAGCAGCATTAGTGCCTGTCCAGCAAGCACAAGATCCCAAGTTCAATACCCAGTACCTTAAAAAAAAAAAAAAAAAACCAGCAGTATAAAACTAGTGTCACTTGTATTTTATTCTATGCGTGTTAATTTTTATTCTTGGGGTTTTAGTTGTGTTATTTTCTTTTATTTGCAGCCTCTGGATCAAACCCAGAGGCTTTCACAAGCACCAGGCTCTTTACTATTGAGCTACATCCCAAGCCTTGGGTTTTATACTTTTTACTTTGGTCCATTTTGAGTTAATTTTTATGTGTGATATAAGATTCCAACTCCATTCTTTTGCATGTGGATATTCAATTTTTCCAGAACTTCTTGAAAGACTTTTCCTGCTAATCAGCCATAGTAGTATATGCCTATAATCTCAGCACTCAAAGAAGCAAGAGATTCCTGTGAGTTCAAGGCAAGCCTGGGTCATCTAAGTTCAAGGCTAGCTTGAACTACACAGTGAGACTCTGTCTCAAAAAAAAAAACCCTGAATGTCTTGGTATCCTAGTTGGAAATTCTTTTCTTTTTTCTGCTCACATCCTCTGGTATGTCTTTGAGAATAGTGTAAATAACTATAGTATGTTTCTTTTTGGTTTTCCTTTTTTTTAAGTGTTAGGGATTAAAACCAAGGAAATGCTGGGCAAGTGTGGCACAGCTGAGTCACAGTCTCACTCACTCCCTTTTTTTGTTGTTTTTTTTTGAGATCCCTGTCTCTTTATGTAGTCAAGCTGTCCATGAAATATCACAGTCCTTCTTCCACACGGTCAGGAGTAGCTGGATTCACTGTGCCCTGCTAGCAGTAGTGTTTTACAGAGCTATGATGAAATAGGCATCCTTATCTGCTTCCTGATCTTAGGAGGAAAATTTTCACTCTTTTACTGTTGAACATATAAACTATGGATTTTTATAAATATCCTTTATCATATTAAGGAAATTAACCCTCACTTTAACCATAGTTTACCAGATATTTTTATTGCAGGAGACTATCAAATATTGCTAGATTCTTTTTCTGGTGTTTTTCTCCCTTTATTCTATTAATGCGGTATAACACATTGATTAATTTTCTTACGCTGTACTGTGTTTGCATTCTTGGGATAAATCTTGTTTATGAATGGTATATAATCTGTTTAATATCCTTATATTTTACTTGTAGTTAAACTGTCAACCATTAATCAAGAAAACAGGACCCTATATAACCCAGATAAGAGAAATAAGTAATATTATGTCACCATTGTGGCCCTAGATTAATCTGCAATAAATTATAAAAATATGTGCTCACCCACCTATGTGCTATCTGCTAATGGCCAGCCTTAAATGGGCCAGATCCTACTGGTTTCTTACATTTATCATACTTTATTTAGGGCTTCTGAATTCTGAGAGTCTTCCCCCAGAAAACATGGTGTAAACCAATTCTTTTGTATTTTCCATGTTTCATCTACTATAATTGTATTTTTATCCTTCTATTAGGCTGCAACTTTTATATGAATTACATACTTTAAGTACAAAACTTAATTATCTCTTAATATAAAATATAATTAAAGTAATATAATTTAGTCCGTTTTGTCCGATTAATTACAGGGTGTGTGCACCAGAAGAAACCACATTTCACCTCCTACATTTGTCATTAATGAGAGAGTATATTGACTATGAGTTTTCATTATTAAAAGTAAGTACTAATATGGCCATAAACCAAGGTTTTGTATGCAGAAATTTCCACGGGATTTCACTGTTTCTCCATTTTGCCACAGGAAAAAATCACATTTAAATATGATATTGAAAGAATTATAGATGATTGGATCTTGATGGGATTTCTTGTTGGCAATGATTTTATTCCTCATCTACCTCACTTACATATTAATCATGATGCACTGCCTCTTCTTTATGGAACATATATTACCATCCTGCCTGAACTTGGGGGTAAGAAAACTTTAGTATGTATTTGAGACTGCTTGAATTTAGTACTGACTGAACCTAAATATGTAACACACTTTCCTAGATTATTACAGGCACTACTAAAGTAGGTGAACATGGGTTTCTGTCAGTCTAAAGTGCCAGACGTTGATGTAATTTTGAATGACTCCCCAGGAAAATAAGTGACCCGAGTTAAACACCCTCACTTATTTTTATTTAACTAGTCTTTACCTTTTGATGAAAGCCAACAAAACCTATTGGTTATATTTAACTCCTTTTAGAAATTCAGTTCTTGTGGGATATATGTAATATTGTTTAATATGAAGAAATGATTTCAATTAAAATAGAAAATCAACAAGCAAGTGAGCCTGCCTAAAATAGACAACAGTATCAGAACATGAGTATTTCTCTCAAGTTAACTTACTAAATTGAGGGGCCAGCAGGTTCGATCCTCCATACCACATGCCACACCACCCCTCTCCCCACCCCACTCCCGGGTTTACCAAGCCAGCCACCAAGACAGGCAGGATGGTGCATACCTCTAATCCCATTGCTCGGGAGGGTGAAAACAGGAAGATCATCACTACAGGTCTGAGCTGCATAGCAAGACCTTGTACCAAATACATTACACACACACACACACACACACACACACACACCCCTTATTAAATTGCATGATCTGGGTTTCTAGATTCTAGAACATAGTTTAATTTTTACCAAATGTTGGATATGTGGGAAGATTATTATGTGAACCTCAAGTTTCTGATGTTTTGCTTTAGAATATACATGTTGTATATTATAGTAACATAAGGATCTTAAAAACTAGGCCTGATTTATATTATAGCCTAACACTGAGGTTTTTTCTTGATTAGTATAATGTTAATATTGAATAATTTATAGAAAGCATTTGGTAGGCTTCTTTAGAAAAAACGATGTCAGCTTTTAGTAAAAAGTTGGGTTTTGTTCTTTGTAGGTTATATTAATGAAAGTGGGCATCTCAATTTACCTCGATTTGAGAAATACCTTGTGAAATTATCTGATGTAAGTAACCATAAGTTTCTGGTTTATGTTTCTCAGGTAAATATAAATGGTCAATAACCAATTAAATGATAGCAAAAGAAACCGATTTTATAATTTTATTCCACCTAATTATTCTATATACCTTTACCTAAATAAATTATATATTTATTTGTTTATGTTTATAATTTTCTGAGTAACAGATGAAGTCTTTGTGTGTATAAAAAAGTGACAGCATCCAGTTTCCTACCCCCCAGAAGTAATCGCTGTTAAAAGAGTCATCTGTGAATCTGGGGGTTTAGCTGAGTGGCACATTTCCTCCCTGGCAAGTGTGAGGTCCTGAGTTGATTTCCATAACCAAAGAAAGTTTGATCTGTATTTTTCCAGATATACATAAGTTATTTTTAAATGAATTTAATTGTTTTTGGACAGTTTGATCGGGAGCATTTCAGTGAAGTTTTTGTGGACCTAAAGTGGTTTGAAAGCAAAGTTGGTAACAAGTATCTCAATGAAGCAGCAGGTATCGCAGCAGAAGAAGCCAAGAACTACAAGGAAAAGAAAAAATCAAAGGTGTCCATTTTTTTAGGTGTCCTTTCATTTTTTTACCTGTAAAGGTAAAACTGATATTCCTTGTTTCTCATTTTCCTTCTTTTGATTTTTGGGATTATCTTATTTTCTTTTTCTCTTTTCTATAAGGATCTAAAACTTGTTTTAGTTTCTTTCTACTCTTAAGAGTCTGTCATTTAGATCTGATCCTTAAAAATTCATTTCTTAGTTTTAACTCTTAAAGAAGAAAATTGTTTTCTTTATTATTCCATCCTATTAATAAGTATGGGAATCATTTCTAAATATAAGAGCTCAAAAAATCACTTTATAAAATATAACCATTTAAATAACCACTGTATTTTAAAACAATGGAGCAAAGCACTGGTTTTTAAATGTGTATATTTATAGCATTTTTTGGTATGAAACATTAACTAGAACAGTGAATTTTCTCTAGAAATTACTTTTGTATGAAATACAGCAGTAGGCTAGGTTGAGAGTAATCAGTGATATAATATCTGATAAATGTTATTTGATTAATAAATTAATGGTAGAATCATTTAGAATATACTACTGCTTTCTACTAAGCGCTAAAGAATGTCTTCATGAAGGGCTGGAGATATAGTTTAGCAACATAGCACCTGCCTAGCAAGCACCAGGTGCTGAGCTTGATTCCCATTTTAAAAAAAAAGTGTCAGCCGGGCATGGTGGCACACACATGTAAGCCTGTAATCCCAGCACTCGAGGAGGCTGAGGCAGTAGGATCAGTGAGCTCAAGGCTAGCCTGGGCTACAAAGTGACTTCAAGGCCAGCCAAATGCCTTTATGGTAGCGTGTGACTAATCCCAGCTCTTGGGAGGCTGTAAACAGGAGGATCACTACAAGTCTGACCTAGCAGTGACACCCTGAATACCCTGTAGACCCTTCCCTAAAATACAAAAAAAAAAAAAAAAGTGTCTTTATGTTAGCTTCAGAAACTTCTGAAAATTTCTTCAACCTATCAATAATTAAGGGATCCTGTAAGTTTTCTATAATATTTACTGCACTGATTGATTCTATTTAGTTTCAAACCTAGTATCTCTTCTTTAGGAGGGACAGCTACCTGCATTTTCTCTAACATTGTCTTTCCAATTTACCTAGCTCTTCTGTTGGAATTTAGCAGCAGCCAGTCTGTATTTCACTGAGTTTGTTTTTTCTTTCTTTCTTTTTTTTTTTTCTCCTAAGAAAATGAGCTTTGTAACTTTTTGAGGATCTGTAAGCATAAAATTATGTCAGTATTCTGTAAGTTCCCTGCCTGAGCTTGGTCCTTAAATGTCTCCAATCTTCATGACCCATGTGGCTAATATTAGAGACATTGTGCAGCAAAAGCCCTGGGGCACATGGTGTTGGTATAGGCCATAGGTTGGATGAACGAAAGGAAATGGAGAGAAGAGAGTTGCAAGAGCTGAGTCTCTTATCATAGGTAGGTAATCAGAAAGCTAAGAAAGAAGTAAGATCACAACAGACAGAAACCAGATGGGCAGGATATGGAGGATATGCTAAGATGGGAGAATTATTGTATGTTGCATAAAAAAGAAATGAAGATAGAATAGTCTTAAGAATGTCAGAATTCAGATACAGAACATAGGTATTTATAACTATTGAATTCAAGCATAAGCAGATTGTATTTTTTTTTAATTTAAAAAAATCTTTATTTCTTTACTTGGTATAGGGTCTTGCTACACAGCTCGGACTCGTAGTGATCCTCCTGTCTCAGCCTCCCAGCATTGGGATTACAGACAGGCACCACCACACCTGGGATTCTGGGGCTGGCATGCAGTTCTGGGGATCAAACCCAGGTCCTTGCACTTCCTAGGCAGGTGCTTAGACTGCCAAGCTATCTCCCCGGCCATAAACAGACTATATTAAGAGCAACTCAGTTTGATTTATCAATATCCTAAAATTGAAAAATGACTAAAGAATTTGGTATTGATTATATACTGTTTTCTAAGTAAAAGAGATACTCTAGAATTATATTCTTGAGGGGGCCAGGAAGATAGGTCCTGAGTTCGATCCCTGGTACCACCCAAAAAAAAAAAAAAAAAAAATCCAGCTAGAATTATATTTTTGAGACATGTATAATTAAATATATTTTTCAGTCATATTGTTGTGAATCATTCATAGAATATCTTTGAATGGCCTGAATTTTAAGTTCTGCCTCATCATTCATTTTAAAACAGTTTATGATTTTTATAGGGCCAGGAAAATTCTGTATGTTGGGCTGCTTTAGACAAAAATGAAAGTGAAATGCTAGTTCCCAAGGGTAAGTACAAACTATTTTAATATGTTACTACTTTGATTGAATAGTTTCTACACTTTTGCTTTATTAGTACTAGCAATAATATTGAAAGGGAACAGTTTATAAGTATTAACTTTGATATATATATTCACCAACCCACTGAGTAGCAAACAGGATACTCATAACTGTCACTTATTGTCTTTCTGGCTTCCCCAGATAATTTAGAAGATGAGACTGAAGATGATGATCTGTTTGAGACTGAGTTCAGACAGTACCGGAGAACCTACTACATGACGAAGATGGGGGTAGATGTGGTATCAGAGTACGGTTTTGCCTATCTTTTTATTTTAAAAAGTGGGAAAAATTAGATTTTGTGGTTCTTCAGAAAACATAATTTTGGCAAAGTAGTGAGGAGGATGTTTCAAATTACTGTAGATTTCAACTAGTATGGTATAGTTTTGGAAAAGGTGATGTTAATTCGAACATGTTATATTCCTATGATAAATGTTACCAAATAGAAAATTTGTCCTTTTGGGCTGGCCAAATAGCTCAGTGGATTAAAGCACCTACTTAGACAGACATGGGCCAGGAGTTCGATCCCTGGGCCTAGCATGTTGGCCCTGCTCCCAGGGCATGCTGAGAGTGATTAAGACTTGGTGTGGTGGCACACGCCTGTAATCCCAGCACTTGGGAGGCTATAAACAGGAAGATCGCTATGAGTCTGATTTATGCAGTGAGACCTTGTACACTCTGTCCTAAATAAAAAGAAAAAGAAAATTTGTCCTTACAAATGTAAGGATGATGCTAACATGTAAGGATGTTAATTACAAAATTATTTAAAATAGTAAAAACACAAATAATCTAAGGGCCAGCCTAACAGGTCACTGGACTAAAGCACCTGCTGAGACAGGCGCAGGGACTGAGGTTCAATCCCCTGTCCTCAGGGCGTGTTGAGATGGCAACTGAGACTGCATGGTAGCACGCGCCTGTAATCCTAGCACTTGGGAGGCTGAAAACAGAGGATCACTAGGAGTCCAATCTGTGTAGGGAGGCCCTCTAGACCCCATACTAAAATACATTTTAAAAAGTACAAATAATCTAAATGTCTGATAAGAGGACACATCACAGTTAGCCTCTGCCTCATCATCATGATTAACACCTTTTACAAAATCTACAGAACTTGGGGGCCGGGATGATGGCTTGGTGGAATAAGTGCTTCCTTGATAAGCGCCTGAGTTCCATCCCTGCTTCCGCAAAAAAAAAAAAAATCTACAGAACTGCTAAACTGGAAATTACAGAAAGCTTGTAACAATTTGGAAAGATGCTTACATAAATTTTAAAGGCAGGCCAGCCAGGCATAGTAGCACATGCCTGTAATCCCAGCAGGACTCAGGAGGCTAAGGCAGGAGGATACCCTGCATTATGTATAAAAACCCTGTCCCAAAAAATAAATGCAGAACATAAAATTGTAGTTATCTATAGTATACTCTAATGCGCTGGCAAAGCCAACCTAGTATAGAAAAAATGCTGGAGCGAATGTGGTGGTGTGCACCTGCTATTCACAAGACTGAGGTAGAAAAGTAGAAAGATTGCTTGAGCCCAGAAGTTCAGGGTTAGCATAGGTAGCACAGTAAGGCCCCATCTGAAAGTTGTTTTTTTAAAAAGACTGAAAAGAAACATACCAAATAAATAGTGATTGCTATAAGGTGTTAAGAGGAACTTTTCTAAAAAGACACTTACCAAAATGAAGAATGATTGCAATAAGATGCTAAAGTATGCTTTGCAGCCAGAGAGATAGCTCAGTGGTCTAAGCACCTGCCTGGCAAGCGCAAGGATCCGGGTTCGATCTCTGGTACTACCTGCTGTGCCAACTGCACCCCAGACCCTCCTAAGCCAGCCACTGAAACCAGGCATGGTGGTACACGCCTGTAATCCCAGTGCTGGTGAGGCTGAAATAGGAAAATCACTATGAGTCCAAGCTGCGTAGCAAGACCCTGTACCAAATACATAAAATAAATTAAAAAAAAAAAAAATGTTTTGCTTCATTATCTAGGTTTGGAGTAATATGGAAACTCTTGTTTTATAATAAAGTAATAAACTTCATGTTTAAAATCATGGAATGAGGGCTGGCCAGATAGCTCAGTGGACTAAAGTACCTGCTTAGACAGAGCTCAGTACAGAGGTTTGAACCCTGGCGTGCCATGCTGGCTCTGCCCCCAGGTTGCACTGAGATGGCAGTTGAGACTGGGCGTGGTGACACGTGCCTGTAATCCCAGCACTTGGGAAGCTGGACACAGGAGCATCACTACAAGTCTGATCTACATAGTGAGACCCTATACACCCTGTAGACCCTGTCCTAAATACATAAAAGAATTAAAATTAAAAATGCTAAAAAATAGTAAAATCATGGAGTGATTTTTACAGAAATATGGAGATAATGAATTTCTAATGATTACTTTGGCAGTAGGGTGGAGTTCATTTTATTTCATTTAGTTTTGGTAAATTGAAGATTTATTTTACCCAAATCTGAAATAATATCTTTGGGATTTTGATAAAGAAAGGATTAGAAAAAATCCTGTTCAGCTGATATGGCACTTTTCAAAAGGTATTCTAGCTGCTGTACATATACTAAGGACATCCTGGTACGTTCTGGTCCCATTCCCACTACATAAGGAAGTGTTAGCATCATTTTATAGAAGGTTTCATTAGCTAAATATTCAAACATTAAACCAAAGATATACTACATTGACTGGTTAAATATGTATAGCAGAACAGGCACGGGAGCACACACCTGTACTCTGCTACTAGAGAGGTTGAGGCAGGAGGTTCACGGTGAAGTTCAAACCCCAGGACAACTTAGCAAGACGCTTTTTCAAAGTTAAAAAAAAAAAAAAGTAGCTTAAAGGTAAAATACCTCTGGGTTCAATGTAAAAAAGTGGAAGACACAGCAGGCTTAACTTTATTGATGCTTGATTTTGGAAAACTATAAGGCAAGCTTTTCATGTGGAAAGGTGGAATTATTAATATTGTGGACTTTTTCTGATTGTAATTTCCAGATATTATATAATTTTTAGCTAATTCGTTAACTATGTGAGGTAAAATATGATATAGCTAGATGTGCTCTAAAGAAACTGGCCTAACTTCAGAAGGCACTGTCGTAATGAATTCTTTTCTATTTTTAGTGACTTTTTGGCTGATCAAGCTGTATGTTATGTTCAAGCAATACAGTGGATTTTGCACTATTACTATCATGGTGTTCAGTCCTGGAGTTGGTAAGATCATATATTTGTATAATGGTTCATTCTACAAGAATCTCATTTAAACATCTTTTTCTTTTTCTTTTCTTTTTTTTTTTTTTCCTTTTTTTTTTCCCTTTTTTAATGTATTTGGTACAGGATCTCACTATGCAGCTTGACCCATAGTGATCCTCCTGTTTTCAGCCTCTCCAGTACTGGAATTACAGGCGTAGGCCACCATACCTGGTCTCGTGGACCGGCTCAGCTC